GTGCAAGCTTAGGCATCACATGATCTCTCTTATATGAGAAACCTAAATTATAAATAAAGAGCAAAATAAAAGATAGGAAATAAGGAGGTAGATCTTTTGCCAAAGGGAGGAAGACCAAGAGAGGAAGAGACTAGAGAGCAAGGGGAAGGGAAGGGGAGAGAAAAAGAATTAAGGTGTGTTAGGTACTAGTACCAACTCCCGTGATGAGCATGATCATTATGTACTGCAAATATATACCAATAAAATAAAACTTGAAGAAAATCGAGGACATGTGGTCACAACACGCACAGGAGAGCATCGTATGAACATGAAGTTAAAGATCCGCAGCTCAGTATTTCAGTCAGCTTTCCCATTGCTGGACACAATCCCTGACACTCAACTTATAGGAGAAATGGTTTCCCCTGGCTCACAGCTGGGGCAATTCAGCCCACAGTTGGCTGGCCCCAAGGCAGGACCATCACTGCAGAAGAGTGCAGTGGAACCATGCTGCTTAGTTTATGGCAGCTGTGGACAGAGCAGGGGAACAGCCCAGACAGGAAGGGCAGAGGAACCAGACATGGTACCCAAGGCCACATCTCCATCACCTACCCAGATGCACCCAGTAGTGTGCTCTACTAGCCTTCCAGGTGAGTTTTAGTCCAATGAAGTTGGTGCACCTGCATTAACCATCACACTGAGTAACAGTAAGATTTGCAGCAAGCCACCAATAGCATGGTGCAAATTCACCCTCACCATCCTCTGAAGAAACCCACTCTCCCAACACCTGATTTCAGACTTGTAGCACCCAGAACTGTGAGACAACCATTTCTGTTGCTTAATCTACCTGTTTGTGGCACTCTGCTATGGCAGCCCTAGACAAAAGTACTGCAGAATACTGAGTTGGTCCATTTGAGAAATATGCATGGCCTTGCACAATACCCACAGTCTTGTTTTCCCAGAGCCATGAGGGTATTTTAAGTTGGAGAGGAACTTCGACATGTTTGCATTCTAGCCTCAAACCAGCCTGCCCTCCTCTATCTGCTCAACTGAGTCCCCCATTATTCATAAAGGTCAGCTTGGGCCTTGCCTATCTCTTGGAGGAGAAACCCAGTGCATACCCTAATATATTAATATTCTTCACAGTGCAGCTCAACTTAACATCAGTATTGGTCTCCTCTCTGTTTGGACAGGGACTTCACTACAAAATGCCTCATTTTTATAGATCTGTTATTAAACTGTTCAAAGGAATAATTCTTTATGGCTCTCTGTTTATAAACTTATTCTACTTTGACATATGGACAAAAACAAAACATTGGAGACCATTCTTTGCTCTCTTTCTTTCACCGATGGTGAATGTAAAACCATGCAGTTTTAGGAATGGGTGTCTTTGGTTCCCTTATTACTACTATTCATCTTTCTTTGGGAGGAAAGGGAGAGCACTGATGGTATGGGATGGAGATGTTTCTATGGAATCTTTCTCTGGTGACTGCTGAACTAAAGCCATCAAGCCCAAGGAAGGCTATTTAATTTGATGGCTACATTCATTGCATAGCTTTTATTTTACCTTATTTAATATGAACCACTAGAGAGATGTTTCTTGGATATGTAATTTCATAAAGCAGGGTGTGAAATAAAAATCCCAGGGAGGCCACTCCTCCTTAAGACTTCTGTCATAGCCTGCATTCTGGAAGGGACCTTTGGCGCCTTAAAACAGCATCAATAAAAAATAGGAATATTCATAATTACAGTGACATTGGCTAACCAGCGTCCACAGAGGAACTTGTAGCCAGGGCTAAAAAGGCCACACACAGCTGGATTTCCATTATAGTTCTGGCTCTTCCTAGCTACTTTCCCCAGAGCAAGCTATCTTCCCTAAGCCTCAAGTTCCTCACCTGTAAAGTGGGGACATTAACACTCTTTACTACTTGAAGCTATAGGGAGGATTAAGTGAGATGTTGAAAAGAAGCTCTTAGAAATGTCTGACATACAATAAATGTCCATTAGATGCTAGCTGCTCTTGTTATAAATAAGAATACATTGTAAGACTGTTATCTGTCAGAGCCTCTGAGTACATGATCTCCAACCTTGATTAAAATATTACAGGGAAATAACCGTTGATCTCCACCTTACAGATAGAAGAATTAAATTATATTTTCAAGGTAATTTGGTTGGAAATGGCAGAACACAGATTCCTTGGGTCTAAAAATATACTGAATGTCTTCTAACTACCATCAAACTGCCCAGTTCACCTCTCCAATGTCATTGCTTCAAGTTAGCATGTGTAAGAGCTAGAAATCCAAGATAAAGTCAAAGGTAGTCTTTATTAAAATATTAATGAAAATCAATTTACTATACTTTTAAGCTTCACAAAGTTTACAGTGAAACTCAAAATGTCAGTCAATTAACTGTGCTTAATTTAAATTTGAAGAAGTTTAAGTCTCTGCATGATTCAGACTCTCCTCTCAGTAAAGATCAATCAGGTACATCTCAAATGTTTTCAGAGATAGGGAAATTAACTGCTCCTGTGCCTGAGAGTTCTAGGGTCAAATTCCAGGCATAGGGGACCAGGCTCCTTGTTTTCCTCTCTTTCCAACACTGGCTCTTTCCTCTCTGCTCCGCTTGGTTGGTTGGTTGGTTGGCCTCTATCTCTTCCTCCAAAACAGAATGTTTTGCCAAAACCTCAGCACCTGTCCTCACAGCCTTCTCCAGCAGAGAGTGGGCCTTCCTTCCTCCAGCATTTGCATATGGCTCCCTGATAAGACCAAGCCTTCATAAGCCATGTGTGACTGCAGTGAGAACTGGCAGCCCTCACAGAGGCTCCTTGGAACACGCACAGAGAGCTCTGCTCACAGAAACGCAGGAAGGAAAGCACTACATTGACCAAGCACCACTGTCCAGAAAGAAACTGAAGTTTGGTTTTTGTTCTATTTTCTTTCATTTATTTAGTTAAAGGAAACAGAGTCCTTACTTTGCTTTAGCTATGGTTTAGTTAACAAAAACAGAAGAAATAAAGTCCCAGAATAGCACAAACTTTCTCCCCCAAGGGTTGCTGTAATGAATTGCACACATTTGGTGACTGTAACTGTTTTGAGGGTCATATGTATAAAACCGGTCTTCCTGGGCATCAGTCAAAGAGTCAGTGAGGCGTTTCTTCCTGGAGACTCCAGAAGAGAATCAGTTTCTTTGCCTTTCATAGCATTGGAGACCTGTGAATTCCTTGGTTCCTGATTCTTTCATCAAAGCACTGTGTGCTCTTGCTTTCACTGTCTCTACTACAAGGATATCTCTGGTGATCCAACTTAATCTCCCATCTCACGATGCTCATCTTAATCTCATCAGCAAAGTTAGTCTTCCCTTGGAAGGTGGCGTTCCCAGTCCCAGATGGCAGGAAGAAGCATCTGGAGGACCCTTATTCAGCCTTGTACAAGCTTGACCCAGGGAAGCATAACAACCAATGAAAGATTCTTTGCTTGCTGAAGGTAGCTTCTCAACAGCCTACCCTCTTAGCAAAGAAAGGCAGTTTCATTAAGAAAATACACAAATTATACAGCGGACAAAAGAAACCACTTTCAGTGTCTGAGATTCATTTTGCTTCTTGATAGATAATGATAATAGCAAACATTTATTTTTCTTCTTATATGTCATGCATTGTCATACATGCTTGACTTCTATATCTCAATCTTACTAACGTCGCCCTCACTGTGTAGAAGAGGAGACTAAAGCACAAAGATGCAAAGCAACTTGCCCAGGATCACCTTAACAGCCAGAGCAGGACTTGAGCTAAAGGCATCTGATGTCCAGTGTACCGTTTCCATCATTTGAGACAGAACTGAGAGCACAGATGAGCAGGACATCGCAGAGTAGAGGCACAAGGGCACTGCAGACACAGGAAACAGAGTGAACCCAGCTGAGGCAGGGAAATGAAGGCAGTCAGGTCAGTGAGTAGACAGGTCGAGTGGCGAAGTCTTGAGAGTTCAGGGCAGATATAGAGCTCCACTCCTTGACACCAGGAACCTTCTCCACTGTGGTTGAGCCTTTTGACACATGGTGGAGGGGCTGGAGCAGGGCTGGGCCCTAGGTAGATTGGTCTCACAGCCCAGAAGAAACTGCAGGAATGGCGTGGCTGCCTCTCTTCTCTGCATCCCAGAGCTCTGTGAATAGCAGAAGGAGGTTGTGCCCACTCTCTGTGTCTCTGGCTGTGAGTGCTTGTAGGGAGTGCAGGAAACTACAAAATCGCGCTCCATTAGAGGACAGGGGCAAGGATGATGCTGGGCTCATGCACATGGAAACAGATCTCCTGAGTCAGTTGACAGGCTTTGCCCGCAGAGCTCCACATTTGTAATTTCATAGAAAGTCCCAGGCACTTGGGACACACAGGTCCACCCTGGGATCTTGGCTCTGCTGCTTGCTGCTGTGGGGCTTCTGGTAGCTTCTCAACAGCCCAGCCTCAATTCCCTGTTCTTTAAAACAAATCAAATTATTTTATTGGTAAATGTTAACTTATAAGGGAGCTCAGATGAGGCATCTGGCACCAAGCTGGTACTCAACGTTGCTATTATCTTTAGATTTTTGCTTAATTTTATTACCAATTCACCTTTAGGTCCATGTGATATTCTGCCTCCCTTTACAGTTGAGGAAATTGAATCTCAGGGAAAAGAAGGGATTTACCAGCAGCTAGCCAGTGAAGAAGCAGGGATTAGACCTGAAATCTAAGATACCTGGCTGTGTACAGATTTCACAGAGAGTGAAGCCCACAAGGCAGGTAAGCCTGACTCCCAGGAACAACTCCAGTCCTCCAGGAAGCCAGGGCTCAGTCTGAAAGCTGGCTCTGCAACTCCCCTCACCTCTGCCCCTCTGCATCCCCCAAACACCCTGAGTATCCCCACACCCCTGCACCACCTTCCCCAGCCTGCACTGCCAACTCAGCTCAGAAGACGCTGGCCCCGCCTAGCAACCTGCTTTGGCGTCCTTAGAGACACAAAGCTGTGATTCCTGGCCGTCCCTCCTGTTCTGTGACCCTGCACAGCTCCTCTGCTGAAGGAGGATTCTGGTCTCACCTGAGCTGCCTGGTGGGGAAGTCACTTAAGTGGTAAGGCTGCCCTCACTCTGTTCTGGGAAGGCCCTCAACTGGGAGACCTTGCTGGGAGAGAAGGGTCTTGACACCACTGATTCTGGGTCTGAAGTCTCTATGCAGCACCCAAGATACTGCAGACTGGGTGAAGGCTGTCCTCCCACCAAGGGAAGCAGATCTTGCAGAGAGAGCCCTGGTCTAGCCCTCAACCCTGGGCCCTTCTCCTGGTGTGACCCTGGAGGCTTTGGTTTCCCAATCTGTAACACCTGTGTGTGGGTTAAAGACTAAGAAGCTCTAACAGGAGTGGTCATCTGGGGCCAGGCTTGTAGCACTCCCTAGACAACACACCTCTACACACCCTGCACTCACCTGACTAGGATCTTTGCTTGAGACCTGATCGCTGCCAAAGCAAATGGGGGACGTACGCCTAGTTCCCTCTGTACAGCACTCCTTTGTGCACCATGCGTCCTTGCATTCACCTTCCTTCCGCAGAGCAGAACCGGATTCTGGGCTCCAGGACAGAAGGGAGCCTCAGAGTTGAGCATTGACTCTCCTGTTTGACGATGGCCCGCTTTCCTCTCTGACCTCACTGGAAGCCCACCTGATATCTTCCAGTGCAGGAAGGTAGAGTCACCTAAAGACTCAGTCAGCTGCTTGGTGTGATTCCCAGCTCTCCTAATTAATGCACAATTGAGGATAAGTTGAATGAGTCACATAGTGACAGATCCTGTTATCTTGACCATAAGGCAAAAGTGATAGCAGCAACTGAAAGCCTCTGATGCTTTTCTGGGGATGTAAAGTGGGATAATATGAGTATGAGTTGGCATGATTGGATCCCTACTTATTGGGATCTTGGCTGTCCTGAAGTTAAATGGGTTAGCAGGAGAAAATAATGCAATTTTATTTAATATAAGTTTTGTGTGGTACTGGAGCTCCTTTAAGGAAACGAAGACCAGAAATGCAGTTAGAATCAGTTACTTAGCTTCTGAATGGTACAAAGACTAGTGAATTGTGATGAAGCAAGTAAATTAAAGCTCAAACCGTGAATGTATAACCAGGTATGTGCAGAACTGTTTCAGTCTCAGCTCCCCTCTTTGAGGATGAGGCTGCCACAGTTTTCACGTGGGAATTTTAATATTCTGCTTTTAACAAACAGCACGAAGGTCAGAGTGACATTCAATCAATGCCTAGTTCCAGGTCCCTTTAACCTGGTTGTCACCAGTCCAGAGGATTTGCTTTGGCTCCTTTCTAGGGAAGGCAGTGGGTCCTAGCATTGCTGTTTTTTTTGTTGTTGCTGTTGTTGTTGACAAGGAGGTTACAGTAGATAAGTGGAAAAACAAAAGGAGCTATTTATTTATTCCACCTGTACAGATCTGGAGGAACTTTGAGAAGAATCATGTCTTCAGTTCAGAAGACGCCTGATGGATCAGACACAATGCCTGAGATCACAGTGAAGATCATTGGAAGTAAATACTTTCGATGTCTTGTAGAGAAGCCAAAGAAGTGAGTTTTCCATTTGAAAAATACAGCATCTGTCTTTCTTAGATGGTCATGAATTTGCTTGTTTTAACCCAGAAATTGACATTTTAAAAATACTACCCATGGAAAATGAAGCATTAAGATGTAATAGTAGAAGCAAAACAGCATTGAAACTTCCATCTGTACTGTTTTCCTGGTATTTTCCATCTTCATAATTCTCCATACTCCTTAATTACTTGGGCCAATTCTCCCTATAAGTGGGAAACACTAGCATTACGTGTGACATTTACAAATGTAAAAGTCATCCTGCTCTTTCTCTTCTCTGGTTTTGTGCTGTACCACATGTAGTGATTTGGGGAGAACTGGGGGAATTGTTCATCAGTTTAGGTGAATGAAGGGGTAGAATTATTAGTGAATCACAAGTTGTGAAATTCTTCCTTCCTCTTAATCCCACTTGATATTCCTCTAAGCAATGGCTTCACCCAGAGTAGCTAACATGTCCCTCTTCCCTTCCAACCTCATCACAGCCACATTTGAGGAAGAACACTCGCGTATTCCTAAAATTCACCAGATGCTGAGCAAAAAAGGGAATGACAAGCTCTTCCTTACACAATGCTGATAGCTCACAGCAGGAAGCACCAGACCTATGTTTCTCACAGAAGGCATTCCTTGAGTAGTACCTAGTCACCTGCGGCATTTCCCTCCTAAGACTATCTTTCAGCTCTTTTCTCCATGTCAGAAACATAGAGATTAAATAAATTGAAAAACAGAAATATATGGCATCTTAAACAGTGAAGAAAGCAGTAGTTACAAAATCCAGCTATCCTCAAAATCACAAAGAATTCTTGAATATTTATGACAAGGGTATAACTCCAGACCACTTGAGTCCCTGCCACTGAACACAGTCACTACAGCTTCATGGAGGCCCTAGGAGCACCAACTGCTGCATTCTCTTCAGTCGCAATGGTTGGCACAGAGACATACCAGTGTCAGCAGTGTTGTTGGGAAAGGAGCTGACTCTAAGCTCTTGTGCTCTTTCTTCCTGACTCCTTGGCATTGGGAAAGTGGGTTAGCATCTCTGGTCTCTGGTTCTACATCTATAAAGTAGAATTGAACAGCACCTAACTCATAGGATTGCTGTGAAGGTTAAATGAGAAAAAGTATGCAACTCACCTTTCCAGTGCCTGTGATGTACAGTGTGCTCAGGAGCTGTGGCAGCCTATCCTTTTATGACTGTGAAAGTTTACTAAAAGCCAGGCCTCCTCCTATGAAATGCTTTCCATTGCTTGTGCGTTCTGTGCCTAGGAGACAAATGATCTGATTTGCAGATGAAGAAACTGAGACACTAGGACATGAGTGACTGGCAAGGAAAGTGAATAGGCTTTGGTTAGAATTTGGGCTCCAGTTTCCCTCTACCTGGAAAACCACATTACAGTTCTCCTGCTGGCCTTTCTTCCTAAAGTTGTCTGCTTGGTCTTGTTCTGTTAAAATCCACTTGGTTTTTTCTAGTTCAATACATTTCTAAAAGGGAAGGGAAGAGAGGAAATTGCCTTCATCTTTCTGGAAGGTGTTTTTCCTGCCTTTCCGCCATCTATATTTTAAACTTCAGGAAGTGGGAAATAAAAGTATACTTAAATCAGCTAAATAAGTTGTCAAATGAAAGGCACATTCCATCTCTCATGGGACACTGTAAAAAAATGCTAGTTTTTGCAAGACAGGAATTTTTGTTTTCTATGACCTAGATGCTACTGTTACTGAGATGATGGAGGACAATTAACAGGCTTTGCCAAAGTAATCTTACATGGTTCAAAAATAAATGTCAGGTTTTTGTTGCTGAGGTAAGGAGGGAGCCACTCCTATTACGTTTCAGAAAGTCTCCCCACAAATCCTTACACCCTGAGCCTCAGCTTGAAAGGGTGTTGTGCTTGGGTTGAATTAGCAGAAACCATCACTAAAAAGTGACAAAAGAAACATAAGTAAACGCCAAAGGTGAGGATTGGGAAAAAAAGTTTTTTTAAGGAAAATATGAATTAAAAGAAAATCACAGATCAGTAACAGCTAGAAAAGCAGAAATTTTCTGGTATAATCACATTTGGCTCCAATTTCCTAATAAGTAATCTGTGCACTTGCTAGGGCTGTATAACAAGGTTCCATACTAGGTGGCCTTGAACAGCAGCTATTGCCTCGCATGAAGCCTGGCAGCACAAGCTCCAGAATACACGGATGTGCCCGCCCTCTACCATCCAGGGTCAGCTGTCCATCTCATTCTCTTCTCATTCATCCTGTGCTTAGGTGTGTGACATCACAACACTGAGCCTCACGTGGCTTCTGTTCTGTATCTGCACCTATGTCTGACTTTCACCCTTTTATAAGGACATCAATCCATTAGCTCTCCCACACACATACTCCTGTAGGACCTATTTTCAACTTACCATTTCTGCAACACCTCATCTTCTGAGGTACAGAGTTCAGGGCTCCAACAAAGTGTTTCTGGTGCAGACACAATTCACCCTTTAATATCCAGTCTTCCATCTTGCAGAGGAAATGAGAAAATGCAGCTTCACGGGCTTACAGCTCGCTGCTGAAGTCCCAGGCCAGCACAGGGCTCCTCCTCCCCAACATCTTAACCTGTGCAGCTGCCAACAAATGGGAGAAAAATACTCAAAACCTACTTTCATGAGGGAAATCAGCCTGTGGGCTCCAAAGCACACACAGATGTCCTGTGGCTTGTGCCCTTTCTCATTGCAGATCACTGCCTACCACAGTCTTCCAAGCTACCTCTTTGCCCCCAGAGTCCTTGTTCTCTCATTTGTCCAAGCCTGTTCCTCAATGTGTTCTTTGCACCTAGCTTGTGGTAGACAGAACCTTAGTCCTTCTCCTGATATCTTGGGTCAGAATTTGCCTTTGACCAGTTTCAGGTGACTCTTGGGCACATTCCCCCCAGAGAAGCCCCATTTTCAAGTATTGACAGAGTTTCCCTAAACACAAATGTGGCTCCTGCTTAACCTGTTGCCCTGGGAGCCCCACTATCCCCCTGGGCCTTAACCCTTGTGTTTCTGTCCCCATTTGGCTGTAATGCCTATGTGTACAGCCACATCCTCAGCACAAAGGATGTTTCTCACACATGTGGAAAGTCTATTAATTAATCAGAGCAGTACGGTTGCCAAGAAAAGTAATGATTTAGATACTCAAAAACAGCACTTAGTTGCTTTAAATAGAGCCAAGTCTGAAGTCCCATGCTGTCAGAGTAGCAGCAGACATTGCTCTGTAACAGTGACAAGGGAATGACCTCGGCAGCTCACTGAAGAAGGATAGGCCATGTGCCTAGAGACACATTTTCTCATTTCCACAAAGGAGGTAAAGGTGAAGAATAAAACTACAGAACCAGAGCCTTGTGGACAATGCTGGCAAAATTGTAGACCAAAGAATTAAGTGTGTTAGCTGTGAAAACAAAACACCTAAGTGATGACCGCCAAGGATTGGTGCATGTTAACCAAACATGGTGGCAGACTGTCCCCATTCTCTTAACCGATGAAATGATAAACAAAAGGAGTAATAAAGGCATAGCATTTGTGGACTTCAAAGTGTCATTAAGCACATCTCTTTCACAAAGTCCAGAAACAAGGTAGAGAACTGGAGACTGGACACTATTAAGGTAAATGACGTCCTACAGCTGGCAATTTTCTGTTGCTATTAATACTATCCCACAGGCTAGAAAAGTTCTGAAAAGTTTCATTCTGGATTGCTGTTCTGGAGGCTGAAAGTTAAGGGGTAAAATTTGGTGATGATCTACTTGCTGAAGAGTCCTGAGGGTGAAGGGTGTGTGTGTGTGTGTGTGTGTGTGTGTGTGTGTGTGTGTGTGTGTGTGTGTGTGTGTGTGTTCAGGCTATCTTCCTTCAAATAAAGCCACCAGGATTCATTTATGGAACTCTAAGATGACCTTGTGTGTTCTGACTATCTCCCAAAGGGAGACCTCTGAATACTACCCTCAGATTAAGTTTCTCTGATGCCTCACACTGAGATTAGACTCCAACATGAATTTAGAAGGGGATACAAATGTTAAAGCTGTAGCACTTGCCAACTGGTAGTGACTGAACAACTGCTGTAAATACAACCTGCTGGAGATTGGGAGGGGTTTTTTATGATGCTGCTCTTATTCAACATTTTAAAATCTACAATTGAAGACAAATTCATACAGGTAGCAGGATGCTGGGAAGGCTTGTCTAAAACCAATGGAGATGCATGCCAAGTCTTTCTTGAGATCAGTGCACACACTCATGGTTTCATGGGATTGGTGTGAGGATTCTGTCTGTATTTGAGCTTAGAGTGCATCAAGGGTACTTAGTGCTCACAATCATCAGGCACCCATCAGAGTAGATGTGGGCAGCAAGGACATGTGGAAGACCCATTAGACCAGATCTGCAGTCTGAACTGTGTCCCAGGAAGACATTTAGAGAAACTGAGCATTGATTGAAAGAGAAAAGAAGTGAGTTCATTTCCAGGAACTGCTTTGAGAGGCTTACAGTTAGTGAAGCTGGCTCTGTCATTCCTGGACCCAGTGGCCCAGACCCTTCCTGCATTCCACAGATGCAATACCATGGGTATAGTATTGTTAATGCAGTGGGAGCAGACTGCATGTTTTCATGGGGAGGGATAGTAAATACTTGTAGTATTTATAACTAAGAAACCCAAAGTTCTGGTGTTTTCCCACAGGACTCTCCTGGAACCCATAGTCTGGTATTATTTTAATCCTCCAAAGTCATTCATAATAATAAATTCTCTGTGATTTGTCCTACATGTTTTAATGTATCAATGTTAATAGTTTTAGAAATTCATGCATACATGTATTTCTGTCAGCTTCCTTTCCATAAACATTAATTAGCCTCTAGTGAGATCCAAGTCATTAGGTATATGATAATGTCCCTAAAGTTCTAGGGACAGGAGCCACATAACAACCAGATAATCAAATATCATTTGAATGAGAACTGTGCAATAGAGAAAAGGGTTGTATGGGATCACAAAGG